GTCAGAGACAGTGCGATTGGCACAGGACAGAGCAGAGTTTAGGGCTGTTGTACATAGGGTCGCTGTGAGTTGCAAGCGACTCGACGACACATAACAACAACAACAACAACATGTTACATTCTATAGAACATTAATCTTTAAAGCGTATGACTGAGTTACCTTAAAACTTATATAATACCATGGCCACTGAAGCCAAAGTATCTGGACCAGTAGTGCCTGGCTGGGTTCCAGGACTACCTAAAATTACATTAAGTTCTTCCTCCTGCCTTGGGCATATCATCAGGAGGGGCCAGTCCTTAGAAAAGAACATCATGGTTGGTAAAGTTTCAGTGAATAAAACTAGAAGACTTAATGAGATGGATTGGCCCATCTGTAAGATGAGTTACTGCTGCATAAAGAGTCTGGGGTTTTAAAGAGAGTGGGGATAGCACCAGGCATTATTTACTTCTATTGTGCATAGAATTCGTATAAGTTTGAATTCTGTGGCACCTAACATCAAATTCAGTAAATAAAATTGAGACACAAGCCGTATATCATAGCAAAGGCAAAGGGGGCTGTAGAGCCTTAGAGCTAGTACCTCTTGTGAGCATGATACACTGAGAAAAACTGATAGCTCTATAATTACTGTCAGTCCTGGATGCAATTAAGATGACTTGCAAAGCTTTTAAAAATACTTCAGTGGAGATCTGGTGGCCTAGTGTTAAGAAGCTGCACTGCAATCCCAGAGGTACGTGGTTCGAATCCACCAGATTCTCTACTGGAGAAGGAGGGGTAATCTCCTCCTATACCAGTCAGATCTGATTTGATGGTATACACAAAAAAGAATAAAATTCATAAAAAGTAAATAAAAATACTTTATTTGTACGTTACCCTGTGGAGCTCTGGTGGCCTAGTGATAAGAACCTGTGCTGCAATCCTGAAGGCATGCAGTTTGAATCCACTAGCTGCTTAATGGCAGAAGGATGGGCATTCTCCTCCTGTGTGATTTACTGCCTCTGAAAACCTTCTGGAGGGTCAGCTACGGGTCCGTTCGTACTCGATGGTACACCACAGCAATCATAACAACACAACCCCACCCTAGGTCACAAGAATTGGCATGCTTGTTATATGAAGTGTTGGGAACCTAAGAATGGATCATTTTTCAAAGCTCCCCAGGTGATATGAAGGTGCAGCCAGGGTTGAGAAGAGTGCTTAGTTCATGGAGTTGTGGGTAGGGCCTGGGAATCTGTGTAGAGGGAATCTGGCAGAGCCCCACAGTCCATCTTTGTTGAGAGCTGAGCTGAGAGGCAGCCTCCTCCACAGGACAGCTGCTGAGTGCTGGTAGGGTCTTTTTCAAAGCATAAAGGTATTTAAGAAAGAAACATTCTTACCTCTCTGACTAGTTAGTTTGAAGCAAATAGACCTTAACTTACTGCTGGTTGTTCAGAGTTGGAAATGCACTTTTCCACAGAAATAATGTTGTAGGTGATAACTTAACTAGTTTCCCTATCCACCTACAGAATTTTGCATAATGAACAGTTGTTCTGTGAGAATACTCACACTAACTATTTGAGAAAAGGTATTTGATTGCAGGCCATTGTGAGTAGAACAGTGACATTTGATTCATCTTGGAGAGGATTAAACCAAGCTACTCCTTGGAGGCAAGGATTCTGGGGCTTCGTCTGACATACTTTGGACATGTTGCCAGGAGGGACGGGTCCTTGGAGAGGGACATCATGCTTGGGAGGGTGGACGGACAGCGCAGGAGGGGAAGACCCTCTATGAGATGGATTGATTTGGTGACTGGGGTAATCGGGATGGGTGTGTCAGAGGCAGTGCGGATGGCGCAGGACAGAGCAGGGTTTAGGGCTGTTTGCATAGGGTCGCTATGAATCGCAAACGACTCGACGGCACATAACAACAACAACAACATGTCCGAATGTGAGCAACCTTGTGTCTAGTTACTGAGCTTAGGCCCTGATAGATGATGCTCAGACATCCCTGATGCCTCCCGCCTTCTCCTCTCTGGCCCACTGGCTCTGCAGCATTGACAGTTGCTGAGAATTATGATGTCACATTGTTGTTGTTAGGTGCCATCAAGTCAACTGTGACTCATAATGAACCTATGGATGTTTGATCTGCACCATGCCTTGTACTGTACCATCGTCATCATCTCTGCCACACTAGAGGACATTGTTAGAGTAACTGTATCAGTCCATCTTACTAAGGATCTTTTCATTTGCTTACACTCCACTTTTCTGAGCATAATGCCGTTTTCCAAGGACTGGTCCCTTCCAACAACACACCCAAAATATGAGACAAAGTTTCATCATCCTTCTCCATAAGGAGCATGCCAACTGCACCCTCTTTAATACACATCTGTTTATCTTGGCAGTCCATGGGATATTTAATACTTTTTTCTAGCACTACAGCTCAGAGGCATCAATTCTTTTTCTCTCATCTTTATTCTCTGTCCAACTCTCAGATGCATAGCAGGTAATTGAAAAGACCATGGCTTGGACCAAGCACACCTTAGTCTTTAAAACCTTACTCATCAGCACTTTAGAGAGGTCCCTTACTGCAGACTTAAACAATGTAATACATCTTTTGATTTTCTTACTGCTAGTACCGAGGCTGTTGATTGTAGATCCAAAATAAGATGATTTTCTCCATCTGTCTTATTGGCCTACCTGTCCATTGGTGCCATAAGTGTTGCTTATTAAGTTCACATAGGTTATTAAGATACTCAAGTCATGGGGAACATGACAAGTTTGACATTCTTGTAATTAGGAGTTAACAGGTGAGAAATAGAAACATGTCTCTGAAGTTCATGTATTTGAAGAAATCTTTTTTCTGGTCTGCCTTTTTTTTTTTTTTAACTGAAACATATAGTCATTTTGAACTTAAAAGTTGCTTGTTATTGGGGAGCTCTGGTGGCCTAGTGGCAAGAAGCTGCACTACAATCCCAGAGGTGCACAGTTCGAATCCACCAGATGCTCTGCCGAGGAAGGAGGGGCAATATCTTCCTGTACCAGTCAGATTTGATTTGACGGTACACACACACACACACACACACACACACAATTTAAAAAAAAAGTTGCTTGTTGAAAGTCTTCAGACATGGAAAAATATTGAAACTTTGTAAATCCATTCCCATTGAGTTGATTGGACTTATAGTGACCCTGGAGGGCAGGTAGAACACTCCAGAGACCTCTTCATGGAAGGAGATGGCCATATCTTTTTCCTGCCCAGCAGCTGGTGGATTCCAACCCAACCAAACATTCACTTAGCAGTCAAGAGTTTTAACCACTGTGCCACAGAATTCCTTTTCACCTTTACATATGAATGAAACTAAATGAAACTTACAATTATCATAGGAGCAATGAAGATCACAATTTTGGGACTTTTTTTGGTGTGTGGACCTTTTCTGTATTTATCATGATGTTGTGTATCAGTCTATTTGTGAAGATTTTTGTTTTCTTTTTTAAAAAAATTTATTTTATTTTTTAATTAACATTTACAGAGATTTTGGATTTCCATCCATTCATTGTTACACTTTTCTCCCTGCCCATCCTTCCCCTCCCCAGTTTGCTCTTCTCTTTGAAAACTAAAAGAAAAATTCCTTCATTGGTATGCAATCCGCTGCCCCCTTCCCCGCCCTGAATACACTCCACTATGCAACCTTCAGTATGGACTCCTCTGATAACCATAATACCCTATCATATATCGCTTTTAAACTGTTCTCTCTCTCTCTCATCTATTTCAATGTAGTATACATAATTTATCCAGTTTTTTAATTGTGATATAATATATACAACAGATCTGGCCCCTCTTGGACACAGCCTTTTAGCTGTTTGGAGAGGGTATGGGTTATTGGCACATTTGACTTTCGACCCCTAAAGCTTACAAAGTCTTCTTCTTTCTTCCTTTGTGTTTCCTAGCCAGAGACAATGCAATTGCTCTTGAGGATGGTAGGATGACTGAAATGTGAAGTAGACTAGAAATTAGTATCTTGGCTCAGCCCAGCTTTAGCACTGCTCAGAATAAGTCAGCCGTTTTCTTTCTAGCAGAAGTAATGGTATTGTTTGACCCTGTACATTGTTGAGTGGATCAAATAAGGATATGTGGAACGTTACAAAGTGTGGTGCTAATGAGAAAGTGGTTTAGCTAAACATCATGTAGTTGACGTTAAAATAATTGCAGTGTAGATCCAGAATACATAATGTAGAGTGTACATGTTCCTACTCTTTTATGAAAATAGTATTGTCAGTATTCATGTTCTTTTCTTTTTAGAAACTGTGGACAGTTACCATGTGGAAGAGCCAGGTGAGCCGTAAGCACAAGTTCTTCCTTGATTAGAATGAGTCTGTTCCTATAAAAGAGTAGGTATATAGTATATAACTATTTGTGAATATAGTTTTTGTGCCTTTGAATTCTATTTCCTAAGGATACATGGTGGAAAAGGAGATCCAGAAGGGAAGAGGAGGCCCAGTAGTAGTGAGATGATGGGGCTAGAGATAACAATGCAATTTGCCTGTTTTGTAGCCTTAAATGGAAAAGTCAGTAAACAGTCACAGTTTCTCGTTGTCCTGTGTCCCTAGTGCCCACAGGTGCCGCAGTGACCCTGGACTTTAATATGTTGTTTCTCAGCACCTGTGTTGTGTTGGCCCATTTTTCTTCCAGATTTGACTAGATTAAACTTTCCATACTTAAGAATTACACAATGTAGAAGTCTGACATTCAGGACTGATATTGTTTAGAATATATGTATCTTTAAACACTAGAGTGATATTTCACTTGAGGTGAAGCACCGTGAGGACTCAGTTACTGTGTCCCACCAAGGGGCAGGAGGGAAGTGCATCCTCTGGCTGGACTTGGAATGACACCAAGCAGAGTGGCTGGTAGGAGTCCACAGCTCTGTTCTCTACTGGCTTCATGTGGCCAAAGATAGTTGGATTTGCATAAGCTAAATGTAAATTCGCTATTTCATAGAGGATGAGTTCATTGATAATGGGGGGCTGTCTTGTTGATCTTTATACTTTAGCACATTGAATACCTGTGTAGTCCAGGAGGGAAAGTATGTTTAGGCATCATTATAATTTTATTTTACATTCTTGTTATTACTAGAAGTAATAACGTACTTTTTTGAGTATCAATGTATTATTTCTAACTGGAAGTTTGCTTTTGACTTGTTTTCCAATATATAGCTCCACAAGACTATGTTCAGGATATGGAAGAAGTGATATATGAACAGGAAAGTCCAGGTTTGTGTATATTAAAAATTATGATGTCTATTTCTGCTTGTGACTGTGGCCAGGAATATTTTAACCCTGGATTAACTATCTGCTGTGATACAGACCTGTTTATGGTATGCAATCATTTTGATTAACCATATATTGAATTTTTGAATACTAGTTTAATATTGCATAATAAAGTAAGGGAGTAAGGGGAAAAAGATGTGTTTCTCAAACTACCTTGATGAGTTTGGTCTCTTTTTGGGAAGAAGAAGACTTAGAAGCTAAAGAGACAGTTACACAGTGGTGGAGAGGGACTGGACGCAGATCCCAGTTTTACTGCTTTCTTTGTGACTTATAAACTAAGTTATGAAATTTATGTTTTATTAAAGGCTGTTAAAGGAATAAAGACTAAATCTTGGATGATTATATAATTATAAACAATATGGACTCTTATAGGATGGTTTCTGATTTTCTTTTTCTTTTTTTTTTAAGATTCCAGTGTACCAGTCGTAGATGATGAAAGATTACACCATGATACGGGTATTTGATTAATATATTTATTTGTTGTAATTTAATATATAATGTAGGGCTTTTCAACAGAATTCCTATATTCACATGGTGATTTTTTTCTATCAAAATCATTAAAGAAACTTTTAAGGTGAATTGTTGCCTTATAAAAAATGGGATGACTAGTAGAATTACGTTTCTACCTCCTGGTGCCTGTCTCTTCTGCTAAGCCAGGTGTTGGTACCCCTAGCTGCTTTCATATAACTTGTGTTGTGACAATTTGAAGGGTGCTATGGGAAGATCTGCTCCATCTTTTAGTTGTTTTGAGTCAGAGATATTCATCACTAATAGTTCAGACATTAATATTTAAAGGAATAGAATTTTGTTTTTGCAAATAAGTTGAATGTAGTTTTCTAAATGAGCAGTTATACAGAGTGACTCCTTTAATACTTAGTTCTTGTTTTATTGTCTCTTGTAGATGATGTGATGCACCAAGTCTATGATGAACAAGGTTTGCTAATAAGTAACATTTTTGTTTTAAAATCTTCCCATAGTTGAACTACAAACTAGGGAGAAGTATGGGCTTAGCTATTCATGTTCTATCATAATTAAAAACTTCCAGAATTGTAGGTTTCAAAGGATCTGTGCACGTTATCTACCTGCTTCAGTGACTCTACCTTGCTTAAATTATTTCAGGACATCTTTTAAAAGTTGTCTTAGTAAGTTGTTAAAAATTATTCAAGGCTTCTTTCTTATTAAAAAGTATCTATGGAGAAGCATGGCGTCAGGATTGGTGGAAGATCTATTAAGAATGTGCGTTATGCAGATGACACAACCCTGCTTGCCAAAACTGAGGAGGACCTCATGCACTTGATGCAGAGGGTCAAGGACTGCAGTCTTCAGTATGGATTGAGGCTCAATATCAAGAAGACAAAGATTCTCAACACTGGACTAATTGGTAGCATCAGGATGGATGGTGAAGAGATTGAGATTGTTCACCGCTACAGTTTGCTTGGCTCCACGGTCAACACTCTTGTCACCAGTAGCCAGGAAATCAAAAAACGTATTGCGACGGGAAAGTCTGCTCTTAGGGACCTCTCTAAAGTACTCAAGAGCAACGGTGTCTCTCTGGAGACTAAGGTGCACCTGAAACAGGCCATGGTCTTTGCAATCACTTGTTATGCATCAGAGAGTTGGACAATGACTAGGGAAGATAGAAGGAGAATTGATGCCTTTGAGCTGTGGTGCTGGAGAAGAGTATTGAATGTACCCTGGACTGCCAAGAAAACAAACAGATTCATCCTGGAGAGGGTTAAATCAGGCTACTCCTTGGAGGCAAGGATTCTGGGACTTCGTCTGACATAGTTTGGACATATTGTAAGGAGAGACGGGGCCTTGGAGAAAGGCCTCATGCCTGGTAGGGTGGAGGGACAGCGCAGGAGGGGAAGACTCTCTATGAGGTGGGTTGATTCAGTGACTGGGGTAATCGGGATGGGTGTGTCAGAGGCAATGCGATTGGCGCAGGATAGAGCAGGGTTTAGGGCTGTTGTACATAGGGTCGCTATGAGTCGCAAATGACTCGATGGCTCATAACAACAACAACAACAACAAATCTTCTGCTTTGACATCTTCAGAATTCAATTTTATAGCTATTTCTACAGATTAATTCTACCCTCAAATAATAGCAGCAAACTGCCACCTTTGTGAAGGTTCAGTTAAGTGCAAGCTTGAAAGAAGTCTAAAATTAGATACCATGCTAAGACACACACACACACACACACACACACACACACACACACACACACAGCATTATAGCAAGTGTGATTTTAAATCTTATGTGACCTGAGTTGTCATTAAGATTTGATTGCACAGTGTAACTTACCTTGCTATAGAAAAGATTTTTTTTTAAACAAAAAGACTTGAGAGAAGAAAAATCACTATTTGCCAAGCAGATACCTTCATGGAAATTTAGGAGCCAAACTGGAGAAACCAAGTGACCATCACATAAATAAAGACTTTTTTCCCAAACTCAAGAACTTGGCAAATATGCAATTTGACTGCATTCTTAGAGGAAACTAACTTATCCTAGAGTACACCAGGACTGCGCTGGATAAACTTTGGAAGCTATGTGTCAATCTGAGTTATTTTTTCACTTATATCTTTCTAGAGACTTCTTCAGTATCTTGTTTTCAAAATCACTGAAAGTGACACTGGAGTAATTCTAGCATGTAACATGTGACTCATAATCCCATGGACCTTATATTTTAGCAGGAGGATATAAATGAAACAAAAAAATAAACTGTGTGGAGAACAGGAAGAATAATAAGAATAGAAACGTAGTTTGTGAGACTAGGAATGGTTTCCCTGAAGTTTAAACTGAAGGTAGAGAAATGATCTAGGCAAGTAGGGATGGGGTTGGGAATCAGGGTGAAATCTCTGAGGTGACAGATGTTTCTGCAGTGCTGAGAGTGAGGAAAGGGGTGGCTGAGGCAGTGGAGCTGATCCAGCGCTGAGGGTGCCTGTCTTCACCATAAAATATTACTCTGGGACACTTCATAATTGGCTCTTGTAAAGATTGATTCTGTAAAAATGGAGCCAACAGGTTAGCCAGTAATCTAGAAAGAGGCAATGGTAGGTATCGTGGAACTAGCTAGCCTATGTCAGCATTCCAAACATGACTTTCTCCATCTCGGCCCAACAAAGAGGAGGCCACTATCAAGAAGGATAGTGTTCTGTAGTGCCCAGTGTTACTGAGGGCCAGATAAGATGAAGCCTAAAAATAGGACTTCAATAATAACTCATCTCAGTAGACAGAAATTGGAAAGAGGTGATAGTAAGTTGATTTGGAGAAGTGAGGGTAAAGGGGAAGAGTAGTGGAAACGTGAGAAACTTTTAGAAGGTGAACTCTATGGGGCTTATTACGTGGAGGTATATACATAGAGAGCAAGATCAACAATTATTGCATATCACCACACTTGTGCCTTAAGCATCTTGAGGATAGTGATGCTGAGTTGCACAGATAGTCGTCCCTGAGTGACAGGGCACAAGGTCAGGAAGTCAGCTTGGACCATGTGGAGGTTGATAGTTCTTTGAGACAAACCAAGAGAATATGTCAAGTCTTAACCTCTGAAGAAATTATTATTTTTCTGGTGATGAGCTAAGACAGGATAGAAACACAAATTAAAACCAAATACTGACATTACTTGAGGGAGGTAAGAGTAAAAGGAAAGGAATCTCCATTGTTGGACTTTGAAGAAAGCCAGCATTATGCTGTCTCATAAGAAAAGGATCAAATGATAAAGGAAGATTGAGAAGGAAAAGGAGAGAATTTAAAGAGAGACCAACGAGTATGGTCTCATTGAAGTCCATGCCTTGAAAAGGATGGAACTCAATACTTCAAGGGCCAGCAAATGTGAGATTAGACAATGTTGCTTGGTGGGCCAAAATGATGTTGGAAAATAGAACAGGGTGAGGAAGGGGAATGAGGACATGTGACAGCAGTGTAAGAGGCTCTGACAAAGGAAAGAATAGGTGAGGAGAAGTGAGATCAAGAAAGAGTTTGAGTTTTTTTATTTGTGGGTTTTTTGTTTTTTTTTTTTTAAAGTGAGTAGGAACAATAATAGCAAATGTTGTTAAAGGTTCTGGGTAATGAGAGGCTTGCACCTGTCTTCCAAATGCCATTGAACAGGACAGAAAACAATATTATATTTACAATATTACATTTACAATTACATTTCCCCCTCCCTCCTATATCCCAAGACTGAAGGGTATAGGAGCATAGTAAATATCTGCTCAGCAAGTGTCTTGATTAGGTGAATGAAAATGAACACATTTAAGTTGTTGTTATGTGCTGCCAAGTTGACTACAACTAATAATAGTTTTGTACTATGAACTCTGCTCTATCCTGAGCCACTGTCTCCAACACACCTACCCTTCATTACCTCAGTTACTGTGTCAGCCCATCTCATCTGGGGTCTTCCTGTCTGCACTATCCCTCTACCCTTCCAAGCATGATGTCTTTCTCGAAAGACTGGTTCCTCCTGGCCACGTGCCCAAAGTAGGTAACACAGAGTCTCAAAATCCTTGCCTCCAAGGAGAAGCCTGATTTCACTCTCTTCAGGACAGACCTCTTAGTTCTCTTGGCAGTCCGTGGTATGTTCAATAGTAGTAACACACAAATTTACTTCTTTAAAATGTAGTTAACTTTTACCTATAATAAATCTAGTACATTTGAGGCACTTTGGGAAGACAGAAGAGGCAAGGCTTATGTTGGTTGGGAAAGCAGCATCCCCTCAGGCAGCCCCACGAGAACTTTGCAGGCAGTTTGTCTTTGTGGGAGAGCATAGGGCAGGAACCCACCTTATTCAGATGTGAGCAGCATACCTCCTTTGGGAGTGAATTGAGGGTCCCCTCTTTAGTCTGGGTGCAAACACCCTCCTGTTAGGCAGTAACAGGAGGGTGTTTGCACCCAGACTAAAGATCTGAAAATCATTCCCTGAATAAAGTAGGGAAATCTGTCTGGTGAATGCTTGAATGTAGAGCTGTAAAGTAGGGTAGTGCTTCTCATAACTCAGAACCTGCACCCTAAACATGGTTTAGTGCTACATAGAAATAAAGCAAATTAACAAGGCCCTGGGGAGGAGCTTGAATATTCTGTATTTTGTAGGATATAAGTGGATGTAATTGACATATATCCTGTGGCTAATAGTGGCTACCCCAGAATTTGATTCCAGGCTTGTTTCCCTTCAAGCCACATCTCTTGCCATCTGTGCTGTGCTGGCTGTTCCCCTAATTCCTGCCTCCAGAGTAAAACGTGATCATAGTTGTGTTAAAATGAAACCTGTTATTTTTCTGTTTATTTTCTAGTAACTTGTTATTTTTCTGTTTATTTTCTAGTATATGAACCATCAGAAAATAAAAGAGTAGAAATTTCAGGTAAAGTTTTTTTCTAAGTCAGTATTTCCTGCAAGTCAGCTTGCCAGTATTTTTTTTTTTTTATATTTTAATGAAAGTTTATAGAGAACTTGGATTTCTGTTCATTCATTGTTGCACATTTCCCTCCCTGCCACCCCAACTTCGCTTTTTTGTTTGGAAAAAAAATTCTTTCATTGTTGTACAATTTCCCACCCCCACTCCAGTGCACTTTACTGTGCAGCTCTTATTTTGGACTGTTGTCATACAAATAATACCTAATCATATATTCCTTTTAAGCAGTTCTTTCCCTCAACTATTTCAATGCAGTATACATTATTTATCCTGTCTTTTTTTAGTTTCTCTCCAGTCCTGATGATATCAGTCCTGTTTTATAACAGTGGCATTATGCAGTATTTGTCTTTTTGTGACTGAGTTATTTCACTCATCAGTATGTCTTCCAGGGTCACCCATTTTGTATAAGATTTCATGAGTTCCTTGTTTTTCAGTGCTGCATAGTATTTCATTTTGTGAATATACCACAGCTTCTCTATCCATTCGTTTGTTGATGGGTGCCACTGTTTATTAAATTGTTGTAATTTGTCGAACAACAAATAGGTCTACTTAGAAATACAAAGACATTGTCAAATAATGCAGAGTAATTGGTTATTGTTAATATATGTATTCCTGTCTTATTGTAAGTTTTTATGCCAATAAGGGTAATGTCAATCTACTTGATGTATTCTTTATTTATAATTTAAATAATAAATATAAATATATATTTAAATAAATATAAATATATTTTTAAATGTAAATTTTAAATTAAGGTTGATATGATAGTATCAACTCTTTTGAGTCTTGAAGACCTATTTCCCACAAAACCATATTTAGAGATCTGAGTGGAAGCGTGTTAATATTTTTGTTTTGTCTTATTTTAATTTTAGAAAATGATGTAGAAGAGTCACACATAATTTTAGAAGGTAAGTTAATTTTCTAGAAATCACTTTCCAGATTTAAAGTGTGCTCCCTTACTGGAAAATGATGCATAGAGCTTACTGTTTGCTATTTATGTGGTACTCAGGAGCTGCTTTGTAGACAGATAAGACAGCCAAATTCGTACTGGGGCTAGATATCTGGTGATGAAGCAGATGACAAAGTGATGAATGATCGTGAAATGTGCTGTTACAGATAAACAGGAAATAAAGATGGAGAGTAACAGATTAGGTGAGAGGACTACTCTACACTGGAAGAGGCCATCACCTTCTTAGAAGTGATCTGGGGAGAAGGGGTCGGCCACAGGTGGAAATGGGCTGCAGAATAGGGCCTTCATGCTGTTGTGATTGATACTCAGCTGGAAAGAAATGTTTCCCCAAATTGAGGGATGGTCTCTAAGTAATAAAAATATTTGCATATATTAAATAATGACACTTCAACACCACTTAGATGTAGGTAGTTCTTCACAGTTTGCTTACCAAAGTGTTTCATATATATTTATTCAGCTGTTCCTCAGAGAAGACTTTGAAAGGGATGTAGAACAAATATCTTTATATTTATTTTATAAATGAATAGCTGAAGCTTGAGTGAGGGAGAGGATTTTTGCCAAGGTCCTGTGATCGGCAAGCTAAGCTAACATTGGGCCCAGTATTAGGAGCTGGGGTTGACTTTTCCTATGGGAGGTAATTTGAACAGCTGGTTGCTACCAAATGCACATAGTGGTTTTGTTTTCTGGTTGTTGGGGTGTTGTGTTTTTGTGTTTTATTTTTTTTTAAATAAGCTCTAGTCGCCTAGTGGCAAGAAGTTGTGCTGTAATCCGAAGGTATGTGGTTTGAGGCCACCAGCCACTCAGAAAGAGAAGGATGGGGACTCTCCTCCAGTGCGATTAACTGCATCTGAAAACCTACTGGAGGGTCAGCTATGGGTCTCTTCCGACTCTATGGTATAACAACAAGCAAAATTTCACTTGTAGAATTATTTACTTGTATTACTCATTAATGAGTTGTTAATGGCCAGTTTACAGATGAAACACTTCTTTTTAGCAGATTCTGGATAATGGTGTAGTCAGCTGAAAAGAGAGAAGGCAGGAACAGTGTTGGAGGGAATGGGGATTAGCGGTACAAGCCCTCTCATCTTCTTGCCTATGAGAAACTCCTGAGCGGAGACAGTGTGCTCACTGTGTGCACAGGGATCAATCTCTCCCTAGTGCCCACCTCCCATTTTTCAATTGTTGGTGAAGAATGTTAATATTCTGAAGATTATGGCAGAATTTATAATTTTCTTCAATAAGAGTGAAGGAAGATGGAAACCAAGAAAAACCTCATCCATCACTCCCTGTCCCTCCCTCATCGCCATTGAGTTGATTTCAACTCACAGCTGACCATCGGATGGTTTTGCAAGGCTGCAGCTGGTGGATTCAAACCACAGATAAGAGTGGCCTTTGAGTTAGCAACACAGCTCTCTATGGACTACACCACCAGCACACCCTCCTAAGTAAATATTCTACCTAAATGAGCAAGCATCATAGAATTCAATTTAGCCCTGCCTTCTGTTACTTCTGTGAGAGCTGGGTATTGTAAATGCAGTGAGGAATTTTCCCCCTTAAGATCACAATAGTTCACATATTTTGACAGAGGACATAGCAGAGGCTTTTTTCTTTTTTTAATTTTTTTTTTTTACCTATTCAATCTATAGTTTTATTTTGCTGGTTTTTAAAATATATAAACATGTATATATATATACACACACACACATCCATATATCCATATCTATATCATCTATCTATCTATTTTCCCCCCACTGTTAGAATTTTTAAATCTATTTTTTTTATTAATTTTAGCAAACATCCACGGAAACTTTGGGTTTCCATTCATTCATCATTGCACATTTCTCCCTGTCCACCCCTCCCCGCCAGTTTGCTCTTCTCCTTGAAAGGTAAAAAAAAAATTCTTTCATTGGTATCCCCTCCCCCCCCCCCCCCCCCCCAAGTACACTCCACTATGCAACATTCACTTTGGACTCCGTCATGGCCACAATATCCAATTGTATATCGACTTCAAACAGTTCTCTCCCTTATCTGTTTCAATGCAATGTACATAATTTATCCAGTCTTTCTCAGTCTCACCCCAACCCTGAAGAATCAAATCCCTATGCACATCCAAATACTTCTCCAATAGAGTAAAAAGGGAAGCCACAGATTGGGAAAAAAATATTTGGTAATGACCTGTCAGATAAGGGACTTATATCTATAATTTGTAAAATACTCCAGCACTTCAACAAGATAAAGGCAAACAACCCAATTGAAAAATGGGCACAGGATATGAACAGACACTTCACCAAAGAAGACATTCAGATGGCAAACAAATACATGAAGAAATGTTCAAAATCCCTAATTCTAAGAGAGATGCAAATCAAAACAACTATGAGATATCATCTTACCCTGGTAAGAATAGCATAATTTAACAGAGCAGCAAACATCAGCTGCTGGCAAGGTTATGGAGAAACCAGAACCCTTATTCACTATTGGTCGGAGTGTAAAATAGTGCAACCACTAGGGAAGACTGTATGGCACTCTCTCAAAAAGTTGCAAATAGAAATTCCCTTTGACCCAGCTATTCCACTACTGGGAATATACCCTAAAAAAACCATTACTACCACCCAGGCAGATATATGCACACCCATGTTTATTGCGGCTTTATTCATGATAGCAAAGAGTTGTAAACAATGTAAGTGCCCATCAACAAATGAATGGATAGAGAAGCTGTGGTATATTCACACAATGGAACACTATGCTGCATTGAAAAACAAGGAACTCATGCAATATTATTCAAAATGGGTGACCCTGGTGGACATTATGCTGAGAAATATCTCAGTCACAAAAGGACGAATACTGCATAGTGCCACTGTTATAGTAGAGGCTTTTAAGGGAATCCCTTTCAGGACAGTGGGAATGGGCTGTGTGCCTATACCCCGCTGAGCACTGTTTATGGTGGGCTTGTGTGAGCACTTAATAGGTGAGAAAGAACTTTGTACCCAAGTTCATCTTTGAACCCAAGCCCCAACCTTTTTATCTTCTGGCTTATCACATTACAGTGTACTTGATCTTCCAAACCAGGAATATGCTGATCATCAGTGACTCTTTCATTCCCTTCTTAGATAGCTCCAAGTACTACGGAGCGGATTCCTCAAGTACTTCTTAAATCTGTTCTTCTCTGTATATTTCTTATATTTGGAAGTCCCTCAGTAATGCACACAGTTAACACACTCACCTGCTGATCCAAAGACTGGAGGTTCAAGTTTGCCCAGAGGATTCTTATAAGAATGGCCTGGCCATGTACCAAAGAAAAACTAGCTGCTGAAGATACTGTGGAAGACACACGCATGGTGTTGCCCTAAGTCTGAACAGAATAGACAGCAACTGGTCTTATACTGCAGGTCTAGTTCAGCTGCTCATGATTCTCTTGCACCATGTAGAAAGGCCTCTAACCTGTCTTCTCTCCATCGCTATTTTTTATACACATTCAGTTTTATTACAAATACAGCTTATAAACTTTAACATTTCAAACGTAGCATCATCTTCTCCAGGAAAAAAAAAATGAACCTTTTGAAATACTCAGGAACAAATTTACAACTGTTATAGAGAATGCCAGTTCTGATAAGATTCTATAGTTTCTGATGATTCAAATATAAGGGCTCAGGTTGTTCTTAGGGGAGAAATTTATTTTTAAAGTGTTACTTTAAATTGCAAGGATACTTTTAACATCACAAACCTTCCAAAGGAGAACCTATATTCAAATGCCCACTGAAACCAGGCCAAAATCTCAACCCCACTCTTGCTGAACTTTTAGAATACTGTATTTAATTTTTTTTTTAAATAAGAGAAAGCAGACAGATACGTGTTGGTAAGTGCTAGTTTCTGTACTCACACAAAGATGCAGTGTAACCTCTGACCCCAGTATGCAGAGAAGAGGAAAAATACCTAGAGTTCCGTGTACCCATCCAAGGGCTCAGCGCCCTTCAGCTTCCAGCAGAGCCAAGGGAGCAGAAGCGTTTCCTTTCTCCCCACATGAGCACAGTGGTGATTTGCATCCGTAGTTTTTATTGAGATGAGAAAGAATGCATGTGAATTTGGAATAAAAGAATAGTTGTTCCCCCCCCCCATTTTATTCAGTTTAAGGTGTTCCCCCTTCAAATAAGTTGAGAGCCATGATGGAAGGGAGAGATGAGGGGCCTCCAAAAATAGAGCAGCTGAGCATATTGGAAAAAAGACTGCAATTTGCCCCTTGAGGCTGAAGACAATTCAAAAAATGAAAGATTGGAATCCATGGGTGTTCCCTTTGGTCCCTTTCTCTCACTTTGTTACTATTTTCATCTTCATCAACATCTTCCAGTATGTGCAGGTCCAAGTAAGATGACATTGTTGACAGTTCCAGCCTTTCCTCCATCTCTTAGGATGCCACCTGTCAGTCTAGTGGCGAGGATTTTTGTTTTCTTCTTCATTTTATTGGGAATCCATAGTATCTTCAATATTCTTACACCTGACTTTAAAGGCATCAATAGTCTCTTAGTCTTCTTTATTTATTGTCCAACTTTTACATGCTTATGAGACAATGGAAAATACCATAACCTGAGCCAGGGACACTTTAGGCCTCAAAGTGACATCTTTACTCTTTAGGACTTTAAAGATGTCCTTTACTGCAGTTACGTGGATTGAAATGTATTGTTGGATTTCTTGACTACTGTTTCCATAATCATTTAGCTATTAAAACCTTGATTTATAATACAGATAAACTGAGTGAGAACCATATACATTGATAAGTCTAAGATATGCAGAGTAAAGTTAGAGAAAATGTCTTTGCAAATTAAGCATATACTTACTTTACCCAAGAGAATTATATCTGCATTAAGATTTGTCCTTGAACATTCAAAGCAGTATTTTGCAACATCCTTGAAAAGATAGAAGCAGCTTAAACATTGCTCAACTGGTGCCTGGGTAAACAAAATGTGATATAGTCACACAATGCACCTTTCATTCAAAAGCAACAAACAAACTCAATCCATGAAACAACACTGAGGAATTTCATAAACATCAAAAGAAGTGAATAGCAAGATAGGAACTCTTTTATATTGTTGGTGGCATTGTACAATGTTACAAACCCTCAGGAAGGCAGTTTGGCATTTCCTCGAAAGCTTAATATAGAAATTCCATATGACCCAGCTATTCCACTACTTGATATATGTTGTTGTTATGTGCCGTCGAGTCATTTACGAAAAGCCGACTGGAGGAGGTGCTGGGGACGGGGAGAACGTGCTCCTGGGCAGAGGGGAAGCCTGGAAGCTGTGTGCCGGGGGAAGTCACCTCAGATAATAACGAAGAGGCATCTCAAATGTACACAGGAAAAGCCGGCCGGAGGAGGTGCTGGGGACTTGAAATATACCCTAAGAAAATGAGAACTGAGGCCCAAACAGAAATTTGTACACCAGTGTTCACAGCAGCGTTATTCACCATCACAAGAACATGGAAACAGCCCAGATGTCCAGCCAAAATCGAATGGATTGAGAAGTTATGGTACATTCATACAATGGAATACTATGCAGCATGCAGGAGCAATGATTTTGTAAATTACTATCTAACTTGCTAACTTTGGAGGGACTGGAGAGCATTATGCTGAGTGAACTTAGGCCCACAAGGACAAATACTGTTGTTGTTATGTACCGTCTAGTCATTTGCAACTCATAGCGACCCTATGTACAGCAGCCCTAAACCCTGCTCTATCCTGTGCCAATCGCATTGCCTCTGACACACTCATCCCAATTACCCCAGTCACTGAATCAATCCACCTCATAGAGGGTCTTCCCCTCCTGCGCTGTCCCTCCACCCTACCAAGCATGATGTCCCTCTCCAAGGACCTTTCTCTCCTTACAACATGTCCAAAGTATGTCAGATGAAGCCCCAGAATCCTTGCCTCCAAGGAGTAGCCTGGTTTAACCCTCTCCAGGATGAATCTGTTTGTTTTCTTGGCAGTCCAGGGTACATTCAATACTCTTCTCCAGCACCACAGCTCAAAGGCATCAATTTTCCTTCTTCCTCCCTAGTCATTGTCCAACTCTCTGATGCATAACAAGTGATTGCAAAGACCATGGCCTGTTTCAGGCGCACCTTAGTCTCCAGAGAGACACTGTTGCTCTTGAGTACTTTAGAGAGGTCCCTAACAGCAGACTTTCCCATCGCAATACGTTTTTTGATTTCCTGACTGCTGGTGCTGAGTGTTGACCGTGGAGCCAAGCAAACTGAAGCTGTGAACAATCTCAATCTCTTCACCATCCATCCTGATGCTATCAATTCGTCCAGTGTTGAGAATCTTTGTCTTCTTGACATTGAGCCTCAATCCATACTGAAGGCTGCAGTCCTTGACCCTCTGCCGCAAGTGCATGAGGTCCTCCTCAGTTTTGGCAAGCAGGGTTGTGTCATCTGCATAACGCAGACTGTTAATAGATCTTCCACCAATCCTGACGCCACACTTCTTCTCATAGAGCCCAGCCTCTCGGATAATCTGCTGTGCATGCAGGTTGAAAAGGTATGGAGATAGGATACATTCCTGGCAAATACTGTATAAAACCATTATTATAGAATGAGTATGCGGACTGGGGGCGGGGGCGGGGAAGGGTGGAAATAGAGGAGTGAGGATGGGTGGGTGAAGAGGTTGTTAATCATAGGATTGCACAATTCAGTGGATAAGTGGGGTGAAAGAAGTGTGTGTGTGTTCAAACTTTGTAAATAAATCAGTAAAATTAAAAAAATAAATAAATTGGGTGGGGAGGAGAAAGAAGTGAATAAAAGCTCACCCAAAGGACTAAGTGCTGTATCAGTGAATTTGTATTAAAGTCTAGAAGAAGCAAAACTACAGGCATAGGAAACACATAAGTCCTTTTCTGGAGTTTGGTAGGATTGTGGGACTTGACTGCCAGGGCATTTTTTTGAGTGATGGAATATCCTCTTAGTTGTGGGGAGATTACATTTGTACACACAAATGTACACACATTGCAAAAACTCATTGAATACTAGACATAAATTAATCAGGTATATGAAAACCATGCATTCATAAAGCTGTTTTAAAGCTTGGATAATGTTTTCAACAAAGATGTAATTTAGAAATTTAGTAAGAGTTGGTGCTGGCTCAGTATTTTGCCTTTCTTCCTCTTTTCCACGTTCTTAACGAGTTTGATGCAGCGTTGTGGCAAGCCTGCGGTTGTAGTCCACAATTTCTCTGATAAGCAGTGGGGTTTTGAAGTTAGGCAGTTAGGCAGATATTGTGAAGACAGTTGCACTGGACAAGGGCTAAGTTAGATCTGCTAAGTTAGATGGAATGATTTTTTTGTATGTTGGTGTTAAAAAACCCCACACTGTATCAACATGATAGATAATGAAAATGGATTTTGAACTGAAAATACTGTATTATAAACCCTAGCTGGCAATATATAATGATTTGAAACTTTATTTTAGAAGTAAGTATGCCCCCGGCAGAAGAACAACATGAAGGACCATCAGGTATGATGTATGTATGCTTGATATATTTTATTTCCCCCCCTTTGTTTCATTTTTAACATTCGGTGTCACTGTTAGCAATGATAATTTAAAATGAAATGGTTTTGTGTTTTTGTTAATTGAGCAAAAGTTATGGAATACACACACTGAGTCTATTATTTACTGATTAAAATAGAATTTGAGAAACATTAGTGATCAAACGCTACCCCTGGTGGCGATGTTCACAGGGCATCGAGGTGCTCACAGGCAGGACCTCTCCGGCAATTGGGGCAGTTGGTGTCCTATCCTCTCCTCCAGTCATGACGTGGGAGGCAGATGGACAGTTTTCTCTCATGCATTTTACAGCCTTGGAAACTGTGGAAGGTCAGCTGTGAGGAGGTGGTTCTGACTGGATGGCAATGTGAGAGAAAGAAAGAGTGAACAAAACCACACATGATGTTGCAATTAAAAATACTGGGAGTAGTACAAGTTAGGGGGCTTTTGTTTTTGCTCCTCAGGCTAGTAAATGGAGGATAAGGAATCCGAATTTCTTTTGGGTGACAATTGGTAATAGGTACATTTGTACTGTTCGTCTCATCCCTGTGAACTTTATTGGTGGCCACGTGGCAGTCCCCACTAGCCAGGGTTTGTCAGGACCATTCATTCCCTTCTCTTCTGTCCTGTTAGACTGTCTTGCTGCTTGCCCTGCCTGCCTTTACTTATTCTCTCTAGTCACTGGTACATTTGAAAGAGTGGGAACAGCATTTGAGTCAAGACCGTTGCTTTCAAAAATATATTTTAGAGATGACATGAATTTCAATTTGCATTTGTAAATTAGCATTTTAATGTCTCATCTCATCTTAGTCAACCACTCATACCAGACCCACTAGCTGATTTGGTTTTTTAAAAAAATATTTATTTTTATTTTATATTGGTTTGCATACAAAATTTATATACATTGTCACACATTCTTCTTCTCACATTGTGCTTCATAGGATCATTCCTATACGTTGTGTTTTAGAAAATTAATCATCATTGATGCATACCCACTATTATCTTGCCTAATCAGGTCCCCTTTGGATCTTTCCTAATTCCTTCCTTCACCCCCTCCCTGTGCCCACTGAGCTCTGCACCCAGTGATTCCTCCCCTCCTCAGTTCGTTTTTCGGAGGCTGCGAATTACATGGGAACAGAGAGTGCATCTTTCTTGTTGGTACTCCCTAGATCCAAATCCCAACATCCTCTAGACCATCCCATCTTCCTAGTGGGAAAGTATGTTTTTTTTAAAGAGAAGATTTTCCACATCCTACCTCTTTCCCAAATGTATTTCATCTTATTTCTGTATCTGTTTTCATGTGTGTTTAAGTGTGAATATATTTAATTGATTCAATCTTTATTCATTATTTTCATGTTATGTTTAATGTGAATTTTATAGCAGTTAAAAACTTTCTTGTTACTAATTTTGATAGCATTCTTCCTGTTGAATTTTAATAAAAACGAACAGCCTTTATGGTCAGAGAATAGTTTTAGTGATATATCAGCTTATCTTTGTTTATTATTAGAATAATTTAGATTTTGATACTTGGCATGATGTGTATACTTATAATGTATACCAAAATATCAATGAAAAGAACTATTTTGTTGGTGTTTTAATATGAATGAGAAAAACAATCTAGAGAGAAAATGCTCTTTTTTTTTATAGCAACTGAACAAACACATACCTATTTGTGTCTAGAAAAGATGGACAAGGCAAAGAAAATTGATTTTCTATCCTTTTTTTCCTGTAAAACCTGTTGCCATCAAGTTAATTCTGCCTCTAGACAATTCTGTACACTCCAGACAGGTGTATAAAATACCATTTCACAGGTTTTCAAGCCTGTGACCTTTTGGAAGTAGATTTTCACGGTATTTCTTAGATAGCTCTAGGTGGTTTCAAACTGTCTGCCTGTCAGTTAATAGATGAGTTCTTGATTGTTTGCATTATCCAGGTGGTTTCCCCTTTGTTGTTGAGTGGTGCTTCACATTTGGTTTGATTCTATCTATGAAGTAATGAGCTGTTATAGAATTGGCATTTTTGTTACTCTTCTGTTCTGTTAAAGAATAATTTCCCTTAAAGAATGTTATAAAGCATTCCAAAAATTAATGTTTCTGTAACATTGATATAGTTCATGTCACAGTCCACAATTTTCAGTATTGATCTAACTTTGGTTAAAGTATGAGGTAATATGATTTTGTTTTTCTGGCCAAAGCATTCTGCGCTTTGATTTTTCCAATGTTTTTTACATAGAGCCCAGTAATCTACTTGAAATTTAAATGTAAGATACCTAGAAGTTGGGAGGATGGAATAAGTCTATGAGTGAAATATTTAAACATTGAAGCACATAGAAATGAGGATTTGAGTAATGTACATAGTTCCTGATACATAATTATAAAACATTGTACCTGCACTAGGTGCCATCAAGTTGACTCCAGCTCTTGGTGTCTCGTGTGTGTCAGCATATGGCTTGACTCCATAAGGTTCTCAAAGGTAGAATTTTTGGAAGTAGGCTGCCAGACTTTTCTTCCAAGGCATCTTTGGATGGCCTTGAACCGCCAATCTCTTGATTGTCAGCTGAGCACACTAACAACCTTTACAACAACCATGGATTTGGGCATGTAATAATCTCCTGTTAAATGATAAATGGGAGCTCTGGTGGAGCAGTCTGTAAGGAGCTGAACAGCTGATCCAAAGGCAGTGCTTTCTCTGGCAGTTCGGATCTACCTGCTGCTCCACAGGAGAAAACTGGACAGTCTCCTCCTGTGTGATTCACAGACACAGAAAACTCACTGAAGGGTTGGCTGTAAGTTAGACTATAGAGTTTGTTTGGTTTTTTTGGTTTTTTGTTTTTTTTTTAAATGGCATCTCTGAAAGTGTCAGTTCTAATGAGGGTAGTCTTTGAGGTAGATGAAGAGACTCTTTTGTAAAAGAACGACTCTCAAAGGTGCACCCGACCACAGGATAGCATGAAAATTTGATTGGCCTGCTGCTGTCAACGGAACTTGCCAAGAAAAAATAGAAGGCTGAGAGGATTTTAAAATTCCTTCATTATATGAAATAATCACATGACTAAATATATATTTGTGATATTTTGCACAGTAAAGTAACTGCTTTGGAGTTGGCTCCTTACTGTTTCTTAGTCTTTCATTTTCTTTTACTCAGTAGAAGTTGGAACCTGAGGACTTCTTTAAAATGCTTTTTAAAATTTTGGCCCTAGGGACCCGATTAATGACTACTTTGCCCTACCTGGTCATTGTTTTGTTGAGTTACACAATCTCAGTACCAGTTCTGGATGATAATTCTGCCAGTCAGGCCCTGGCTGTCTTACCACACCACTGCATCCAGCACAACTCCTAACATTTAGTAAAACTTTATGGATCAAGTGGTCCCTGGGAGATTTAAGTAGTTAACTTGTTTGCTTACCAAAAGGTTGGAGATTCATTTTCACCTTCAGAGGTGGCACTGAATATATAGACCTGGCAAACTTTCAAACAGTTAGTCATTGTAAACCCTGTGGAGTATTGATGCTCTGAAATATATATAGCATCACTATGAGTTATAGTTGACTTGAAGGCATGCAGGACACATCAATGTATTAATACATTTAATCTCCCTGATTATGCTCTTACCTCCATTTTACAGAGGAGAACATTGAGGCAAAGCTTGCCAAGTAACTGGCCCAAAGTCCCAGAGTTGCAAGCTGGCTGCATAGCTCCACATAGCTGCTATGCTAAGAGGGCATCATATAAATTAAAGCTGAAGAGTTGATGGAGAATAATAGGTTAAATATTGCTTAACGAAAAGATCAGTGATTTGAATTCATCAGTCACTGTTCGAGAAAAAGATGAGAGAGTCTCCTCCCATTAAGATATACAACTTCATAAACCCAGTGCAGGGTTACCATGAATTGGAATCAGCTCAACAGTAGGGAGTTGGGTAAAGAGCTGGTGAGATTTTTAGAACTGTTTTTGTCTGATAATATTTGTTGTTGTTGTTTAACATCATATCAGAAATGACCCATAGCTGACCCCTCAGGAGGTTTTCTGAGGCAGTAAATCACCCTAGAGGAGATTGCCCATCTCTCTCCTGAGGAGCAGCCGGATTCAAACTGCGAGCCTTTGGGTTGCCAGTGTAGTCCCTTACTACAGGGCCACCAGAGAAGTGTTATATTAGAGATGTTACATTCTTAGATATTTATTATCAGTTGGAATTAATAAATGGTGAACATTGCTTTATTATTTGTGGTAGGAAAGTTAAATTGTGGCTTAAATTTTACTTGAAATCCAGCAGTTTATTTATAGCAGTCTGACGGCATACCTATCCACAGCACCAATTGAATGATTTATGAAGGATTCATCGGTGTAATTTGTCTGAGTTAAATTTCCTGTCAAACAATAGCTTTAGAGCCATTGGTCAGTTGACTCCATTAACATCTTTCCTGCTATCCTCATGGTAAGGGCAAAAAGGAATCAATTTTATGAAATGATATTATTTTAAAAAGTATTTGAGCAAGTACTAAAGCTATGTCTATCCTTCTGTCTGTCTATCCATCCATCTGGTGCTTAGTAGTAAGGAATTGTTCTGCCAATCCAAAAGTATACAGTTCAAACCCACTAGTTATTCCATGAGAGAAGAATGGGCAGTCTCCTTCCATGTAATTTACTGCCTCTAAAAACCTGTGGGAGGACTAGCTGTGAATAGATTCTGACTCAGTGGTTTTTGTTATGTGCCATTGAGTTGCCTGTGACTCATAGCGACCCTCTGTACAACAGCTCCGGAGCATGCCCTATCCTGAGCTAGTCTCATTGACTTTGACACACCTACCCCTACTACCCTAGATACTGTAACAATCTTATCACATCCCAGAACTTCCTCTCCTGTGCTGTCCCTCCACCCTTCCAAGCATGATATCCTTCTCTAAGAATCAGTCCCTACTGGTCACATGCCCAAAGTATGTGAGATGGAACTTCAAAATCCTAGCCTCCAGG